GCTGCTGTTGGGGCTGCGGCGGCGGCGGCGGCGGCGGCTGCTGCAGGTGGTGGTTGCTGCTGTAGGTGACCTTGAGCTCGTGCAAGTCTTTGTAATCCTCCACGGAGTTGCCTTCCCGGGAACGGTAGATGGGGTTTTTGCACATGTGGCCCAGCGGATGAGGGATGTACTCGTACACGTGGCCCGCGGGCGTCTTCACCTTGGGCAGCGCTGGCCCGCGATGGTGCACGTGCGCGTGGGGGTGGCCGCCTGCTCCCCCGCCGCCGCCACTGTACACGCTGTACTGCATGTTGAAGGAGCTCACGTCGGAGTTGTTGGTGCTGGTGTGGTCGCTCTGGTTCTTCTTCCTGCGCTTCATGACCAGTACAAAGAGCCCAGCGGCCACGAAGACGGACATTATGAAGACCAGCAGCAAGCTGAGGATCAACACGGACAAGGGCACAGAAGACGCCCCTCCACCTGCGCCCAAGCCAGCGGGGGTTCCAGTGCTGTTCAGCCGGACGGCAGGTGTCACCGCGCTGGTCCTGGCTGGGACTTGGATGGAGGAGGGCGTGGGCGTTGAAACCACAACATCCGAGTAGTCTGGGCACAGCGACTCCGACTTAATGGATCGCATGTCAGTCTCGGCGAATTTCTTGGGTGCCTTACAGATCACCTCGTCTACAAGGACGCCCACTTTGAGCTGCTCCACCCAGAGCTTCATGCCCACCACCTCGCAGGTACAATCCCAAGGGTTGTCATGCAAATCGATTTGAATGAGTGACGTCAGCTGGTCCAAAACTCCACTCACTGGCAAGGAGGTGAAGTGGTTACTCCTCAGATTCAACCTGAGCAGGGTCAGGCCAGAGAAGACGCCAGAGGGCATCACCTGCAAGAGGTTGTTATTCAGGAATAGCAGCTGGAGGTTTGGGACTGGATCAAAAGTCCCAGTCTGGATCTCTCGTATGAGATTGTACTGCAGGAAGAGATACTGCAGGCTCTGCAGCCCATAGAATAACTCTGGGCTCAGCCTCTCAATCCTGTTGCCATTTAGGTAGAGGCGTCTCAGGTTGCTGAGATCCCCAAAGGCCCGGTCCTGGATCATAGAGATGCGGTTGTTACCCAGGTGCAGTAGGTCCAGCCCAGTGGCCTCCAGGAAGTCTGTCCTGCGCACGACAGCAATGTAGTTCTCCGTCAGATACATTTTCTTGGGATTGTAGGGCTTGGGCTGCAGCTCAGCTATGCTCTCAATCTTGCGCTCCTGGCAGTTTACATTGAGGCCCAGATCAGAGATCTGCAGGTTGCAAGTGCACGCGGTGGGACACTCCAAAGGCACCGGGGATTTGGTCTGGTAGGCGATGCTAGGGCCATAGTTACTGTAGCCCAAGTCCTTTGAGGGCTGCCTAGAGGTGGGGCGCACTCTGGGCTTGTTGGGTTGGCGGGTTCCTTTGGGGGGTTTCAAGGGGGGTTTGTAAACAGCAGAGGAAGAAGTGGCCACGGAATTCACTGAGGCCGGGGTGGTGTGTAAATACCCCGTGGTGCTCAAAGGCGTCTGTGGCCTCATCTCGTAGTCTGAAATAAGTTTTCTTGGACAAAGTTCCTGCTTGGATATCTCATCCAAGTCCCTGCCGTGTAAGCGGAAGGGGGTCTCACAGACCACATCCCCCACCAGGGCTGAGTAGGAGATGCTGTCCAACCAATCTTTGAGAGAGATCAGCTCACAGGAGCAATTCCAGGGGTTTTCCTCTAGCTGTAACTCCACAACTTTATCCATGTGCTGCAACAGCCCCATGTAGGGCAGAAGTTTCAGCCGGTTCCCCCGCAGGTCCAAGTGCGTTAAGGGCACAAAACGGAAAAGATTGTTGGGTAAACTTGACAGCAGATTGTCATTGAGGATAAGCACCTGCAACAAATGCAGTTTCCCAAAAGCATTGGGTTCAATGACGCTGATGTAATTGTAATCGACCTGTAGGTATTCCAGGTTCTCCAACCCAAGGAAGGTATCATCTCGCAGAAGTTCCAGTTTATTGTTATTCAGATGCAATCTCCTCAGACCCCGCAGCCCATGGAAAGCCCCAGTCTCGATGTCTTGAATAACATTGCTACCCAGATGCAAAATTGAAGCCCCGGTGTAATTGACAAATTCATTAGGATAGAGACGGTTCAAAAGGTTTCCAGACAACAAGAGATGATAGACTGGAAAACGGGGAGGACTAATTTCAGAGAGACTAATAATACCCCGGTTTTCACAGCTCACAGTTAAAATGCCATCCTTTTCCTCACAAGGACATGCATTGTCACAGATTTCCCCATAATAATCGATGGTTTCTGCACATGAAAGGACGAGAGATGTTACAGCAAACGCTAGAGTCTGCAGCATCCAGCTATGCATTTTTCTGTGAAGGTCCTGCTCCAAAGTTACTGGGGGGCAGCAAGGGTGCATTTTACCTCCTGCAAGGGAGAGAGGAAACAAGGAACAAACAAAATATAACAAAAATTTAAGGGATTAATTAGAAAGTCTCTCTCTTCCCTCATACTCTTTCTCTGAAATCTAGGAGGCAACATGAATTGCAACCCCCACCCCCACCCCTACCCCAGTGGAACATCAGTCTCC